GTCCCCTCTGGGGCGCTGGCTCTGATCCACCCCCGGGGCAGGGACTGGCTGGGGCAGGGGATGGGGCACAGGGCCTGTCCCCTCTAGGGGGGGCTGGCTCCCCTCTGGAGGGCGGGGGGACGGCTGTGATATTTGGGGGGTGTCTGGCCCCTGGGCTGGGGGTGGGGTAGCTGCCAGGCACGGATAGGGGCTGAGGGGGGGGGTGCATCCCTCCCCACAGTGCAAGTCAATTTGGGCTGGCCCCTCTCCCCCCCCCCAGTGTCCTGACCCCAAAGACAGGTCAGCCCCCGGCCTGCAGCTGAAGTGTGTGGGGTGAGTCAGAGGAGGGATATCTGGGGGGGGTGTCTATGCAGAAGGGTTTTGGGGGGGTCTTTTCCTATGCACCAAAGCGCCCCCCCTTTGCACAGTAGCAGGTGCCCCTCCTTCACTTTCTCTCTTTCTCTCCCCCCCATGCAAATTCAGGGGGGGATTTGAATATTTCCTCTCTCTGGGGAAAGTGGAACAGAGACGATTCATTTGCATGTGAAGGGGGGGGCTCCACCTGCCAGCTTCCCCCCCCCCGCTCCGACCAGGCCCCTACACTGCTCTGCCCCCTGGCTGGCCTTGGGGCTGTTCCCACCTGCTGGGGGTGGGGGGAGGGGATGGACCCCTATGGGGCTGGGGGGGGCTGGGTTCGGTGTGGCCCCCAACCCCACTTTAACCCCTGCCTCCCCTGTCCCCGCAGGTTCGATGGGTCCCACTATGGATACACGGTAAGACCGCCCCCCCGCCCCCAAATTGTCTGTCCCCCTCTGCCCCACAGCTCCGCCCCCCCCCGTCCCAGCTCCCTTCACCCCTCATTTACATAAAACCCAGACACCCTTCCCCCCACTACCCCATCCCCTTAGACATCCTCTGTGGTGAAAACCCCTCCCCTCCGGACTCCTGGGTTCTGTCTGGCCTGTGGGAGGGGACGGTGGTCCAGCCATGGGGGGCTGGGAGCCAGGACTCCTGGGTTCTCTCCTGGCTCTGGGAGGGGAGGACGGGAGTGGGGTCTAGTGGTTAGAACAGGGGAGCTGGGATCCAGGACTCTTGGGTTCCATCCCTGGCTCTGGGAGGGGAGTGGGGTCTAGTGGATGGGGGTGGTCTGGGAACCAGGACTCCTGGGTTCTCTCCCCAGCTCTGGGAGGGGAGTGGGGGGTCTAGTGGATGGGGGT